TATATTATTTGCTTTAGGCCCTGGACCGACTCCTCTTAAGTTACTTTACAGCTCCCGGTTCCCGTCACTTCTGCAGCATTCGCACACTGCGCCACGGGTCTTTGCAGCTATTCGGAGGGAAGAAATCATGCTGGTGCCACGTGCTGGGACCTTGATCCGAGGACCTGGCTGCACCTGAGAGAAGTGCCCGACTTTAAATGCTGCCAGACGGTGCTCCTGCTGGTCTGAGGCAGATGCGATTTTCCTAGTTTTGAAATGTCACGTGGAGTCAAAAACAACTTCCCCTCCTTCTAAGTTCTGGCTGGGCTAATCAAATTAACACGAAACAGGGTAACAGGAGAAAGTGACTGAACTCACTAGCCTGTGTGTTCGGGGTGCCGGCAGGATGTGGGCCCCGGACAGACCGACCGGGCAGCTGAGGCTCAGGTGCCATCTCGGGCTGAGGAGAAGGCGTCCGAGTTTGGGGCTCGAAGGGGAGGAAGGCGGGTCCCAGGGAGACAGCAGAGCAAACGCTTGTAACGAATGTTTGCTGGGCCACCTGTAACAGTGGACACAGGGAGGACTTTGGTCAAACAGGCCTTGCTGGGTCCTCCGTCTCACACTGGTTCCTATAAACCACAGGCAGTAACCTTCCTGGGGGCCGGGCCACTGGGGGAAGGTCAGAGGTTGGTGTTTTGTTTGGTTTTGAGTCTCTAACCAGCTTAACATAGCCAGTATCCCAGGGGGCGTATTTTGGGGAGGCAAATCTGCGAGCCCCCAGTAGTTGTCTCCCACCGGGTCTTTAGCGAGTTTGGGCCAGAGCAGTCTCCGGTTCTCCAGTGACCTCGAGGGAGGCCGGCCACCGCCCTGACATCACTGTCCCAGAGCCCCCTAAGGGACAGACCTGCTCATAACCTGAACAGTAGATTATTGGGTTAGGGCTTCTTGGTCCTTTCATCAGCAATAGTCCGAAAATGAGTGTGAAATCGGGACCCATCGCACTCTAACCCGAGAGAAGAGCGGAGACTGGCAGGCCAGACGAGGGCGGTGGGAGGGCCGGGAGGGGCTGTGTGCGTGGGACCACCTTTCCGCGTCGTGCACAGGCTCCACTGGGGTGGGAGCCACAGCCTGATACTCGTGCTGATGTCTGTGGAGCAGGCAGCTCGGCTGCGAGTCGGGCACTGAGACGGGCCCCGTCGGCGCGGCCCCGGGTCCCTCCCACAGCGGCCCTGGGAGGACGGAGCCTCCCAGTGGGAAATGGGCAGGGTTGAGTTACGAGTCAGGTCACAGGGTTTCACAGCGTCTGACGCTGGACTTCAAAGCATGTGACTGCTGGTCGGCTGAAGCCCCGTCGTGGAAAGGGACACACCTGCCTGCGCAGGTCCC